ATAAACATATTTAATGTTATTATTGTAATTATTTTGTTATTATTAATTATATCTACATTTTTTACGATATTCAAACCTGCACACGTGCGAAAGGAATTTATTAGTTTGGTCAATATCTCGAAAAGAGGAAAACGTGACTTCCATCATCGCAGATTCCACTTCGACGAGAGTCAACCGCTGTTGTTCGTCGCACGGCGTTTGAATTGACGAACGAATGAAAACTGCAGCACGATTTAATCCGAGGGAGAGGAATCGCACTTAAGACCTCGGCGACGAATTACGACTTCATGTACTCACCTGATTAATGTGCCTCAATTGGTCAATGAGCGCGCTGGTGTTCGTATTGCCGGAGTAGCTAGCTGGCGTCGTCGACATCGTTATCGTGAATTCAGGATTGTATCTTTGAGCGTTCAGACTGGAATCCACCACGGTTTTCGTATATCTGAAACAAAATTTAATTGCGCCGTAATAAAACTGAATTAATTTCGTGAAATTACGTTGTATGCAGATAAGCAGATAATTTTGTAAATAAGAGCTAAATGAAAACCATGCGATAAGAGATTGAAATATCAACAATCTTTATTTTAATAGAAACATAAACGTAAAATTTACTACGCGATTTAAGTATCAAGTGTAAAAGCGAAATTGAAAATTTATACTTTTCATATAAAAATATATATATATATGAAACAGTTTAATAAAATCAATATTTACATTTTATATATATAATACAATATTATAGTTCAAATAAAAATATTCTCTTTTTATCTTATTTAATGTATCTTTTTTAAAAGCATATCTTCTTCTTATTAAAATAATTTGGATCCAAGTTCTAAATTGCTGCCAAATTTTTACAAATACAAAAAAATTTCATAATGTTTTCGTTTAGTTACAAAAAATACTTGTAATGCATTCTTAATAACATTCAGAAAAGAAACTAGAAGATATTACGAAATGATATGACAATCTCATTATCAAGCTGTCACATCGCGCGTCTGCAATTCAATAAACTGAAAACAAATATCTATATAATGATATATCAAATATAAATATATATACACATACACCAAATATATACATATATATATGTTCATGAATAGTCTAAAAGTCGATACTTCGCTGGGGGCTTTATTGTTTATACAGACTTGGCTGTGAAAGCATGAATACGCGTTGTAGCGTTTAAACACAATAATCGGAGAGTTATGAATAGAATACACCGAGTGAGCATTTCTTCCGCGAGTTCAACACGAGTCTGGTTGCATAAATCGTGAGTGTTAAATTACTTCGGTATCGTGCCCGGCTTCTATCTTCCCCCGTATTAACGATATAAGCTCTCCCCTTGTTGCCAATACGCTCCAACGTGCCACCCAAATGAATCTGGGACCAGACAGGTAGATAGGCTATTGCATATATTCATTAGAATCTTAATGAGACACGATATCAAGCTATACTTTGAATAACTAAATTATACGGCCAGCAAATTTACACCGAGAGAAATGTTTGGTACGTATAACATTTATTTTGTTGGGATGTGATTAACAGAAACTTTCTTACTTTTCCATTTAGAAATTGTGCTGTTCTCATCAAAATTTGATTAGATTAGCCAAATTTTTTAATAGAACGACACAATTTTTGTTATTCCAACCGCTGTTCTAATTAAAATTTAATTATTCTAATCGAATTTTAATTAGAACGGCACAATTTTTAAAGGAAAAAGTAATGAAGTTTTTATTAGTCATATTCAATAAAATAAATGGTTATACATACTAAAATTTCTTTCAACACGTGGTTCGCCTTTCTCAAATAAACTGAATTTTGGAAAATAATCTTCCTATAAAAAGTATAAAATTAGAAATCGATCTTCACACGCCGTAATCTCGGCGTGAAAATTGCCATCCAGAATTTGTTGCGCTTTGTTTGATATTTTACAGAAATACAAAGCGAAAGCGAAGCTCGATCCCGCACGCGCGTCCATCACGCATTCATCCGAGAGCGCGCGGTTATCTTCCGCGCTTCTATCTTCTGCGGGGTGCTGACCGACAAGAGACAAATCGCTTCGTGCCGCTTCGCAGAATATCGCCTTCCGCTTTTCGATCGCCACGCGATTAAGCGCCTGCGAATCAATGAACCGGGAACAAATATATCCGCGAATAGTCCAGAAGTCGACGATACTTCGCCGGGGTTTTACAAAGAGTGGTCGTTATTTATATTACATTGTTCTCGCTAGTCCTTTATATTATTGCAACGAGTGGTATATAACGGTAATATAAAGCGTGTGTTACGAGACATTTATCTTAGAAATAAGATCAAGAAATAAAATCATCAATTATCTCGAATCTTAGAGCGATAATTAATTCGCCATAATTATTAATCTACGAAATTATTGTTATTAAAAATGACAACTATTATAATGCGTTTTATCTACTCCTGCAATTTTTATATTATTTACCGTTAGCATTTATATAAATTTCTAATTAATTCACCATAATTTATTAATTCACGAAATTATCATAATTACACGGTTTCGTTCAAGTATCTAAAAACTTAAGACCTAGATTTGAAAATAATTTTGTTGGACCATCAAAATAATCATGTATAGACTTAAGATGATTTTTAGAATGCTAAAACTTTTTGTAGTATTATCATGTTTAAGTTGCTCACATAATTATTTATAATTTTAATTATTTATACAATCCTAAACAAAATTATTTTCAGACCTGTATATAGCTAAATTCTTAAATACTTCAACAAAATCGTTCTTTTTGTATATTAAAAAATAATAAGTAACACGAGAGGTACTTCTGCAATTTTTATCACTGTTTACCATTGGATTTTATATAAATTTCTAATTTTTCTCATTGTATTCATATCCAAAGACCTCAATTCACTTGATCTACCATGTTTTTTCGCTATTATTCCCACTATTCGTATGAAAAATATTACATCGCCAAACAGGCGTACCGAAGTATCTAGTGTGGCTCGAATGGCTCGATAGCGAATTGAAATATCGCCAAAGTCGTGGGGTCGACTCTTCTTCTCGATGCTTCTGAATGCCGGCCATTCACGAAACGACCTCCTTGAGAGAGATCGTCCTTCACCCTCCTCTTCATCCTTTTTCACCTTGCGCACATGTCGCGCTTCTCAGTTTTCCCGCATCACCCAGCATCTTCCAGCGATTTTCCTCGCGAACTTTCCTCCGCTCCTTTTCCGCTAAATCGCACCTTGCGGCGTCTATCTCGAGTCATATCTTCTTTCAAAGCACTACATAACGTGCGTAAAGTTTCCTTTACGAACTTCCTTACCAATTTACGAATTTTGATACGCAAAACTTGAGGATTATAATTTTATTCCTTTAATTCTTTAATGCCACATTATACTATTGTTTTGTTACTCGTATCTGGCATACTTAACTTTGATTGTTTGTAATTTTTATAAAAATAAACATTATTACAAATTTTCTTTAAATTAAAATGAGACATAAAAAAATACAAATCAAAAGGTTACAATTACCTATAAGAGAGCTAACACTGGATGTTTTTTCACTCTAAAACTTTAGAGTGAATATCACACTAAAGAATGTAATCTTACTCTTAAAGATTGAAAATTGAGCCACACTGTTTCAAGATTGGCTCAATTGTCACTCTTTAGAGTGAGATTCCACTCCAAAAAATTTAGAGAACATGTGTGTGTATATATAAATTTTTTATTTAATATAAATTATCATTAAAAAAAAAATTAAACGTTTCAATCCTACATTTATAAGTCATTTTCAATAAATACAATTAATCCTGATATTTAAATGATTTATATCCAAAAACGTGGAATCGAAACGTTTATTTGTATTTAAAATTTATATTTAAAAAAAAATCGTATATAATACATAAACGTCCAGTATTGGCACTTATAAATACTTGTAATTCTTTGATTTATAGATTTAGAGTCTCTTTAGAGCCTAATTTCATTCTGTTTAATTAAGAAATGCAATGATATGAAGTAAATGTATGTACCTTTACTAGTAAAAAAGTTAAAAGCAATGAAGTGAATACACTAAAGTTTTTTGAAAAAGATTATTTTTTGAAATAAAAAGCCAGTGACATTGAAGAGTTAAAATTATTAGTACACTTGTTAGGAGAGCTAGAAGACAAGTAAGAGCTGAGATATAGCGTTTTGCTTTCTTCCGCACCCCACCTGTCGCTCCTTTCTTCTTTCATTTGAGTACCTCTTCATCCCTAACACGAGTACAATCTGCACGATCTCGACAGCGAGGGAAACGAAGACCGGGTGAAACGAGCCAACAAAGACTGATTCTGCGGCGATCGAACGCGAAAACTGTTCAGATGAAAACGATGCGTTTTCCACCTCATTCGTTGCGTGATATCACAGCGCACAGAGTATTTGATCAATGATGTTTGTAACCAAAAGAGGTATAAGACAAGAAGTAAAACAAACGTAATTCCTCATCCCCCGAGAGTATATTATTTCGGTCCGAGCTTGTTTCTCCACAGGAACAGTTTTGTTCCTCCGTTAACTCGACGGACGTGATCGACGCTTTTGTAATTAAAGCCCGGGTTAAATTTCCGTTTAAGTAAAGTTCGCTCGAAACTGAATAAAGGATGGAGGTAAATTTCACGTAAGGTTTGACTTTCAGCAGCTCGGTATATAACTCGCAAGCACTTTTTTTTTACCTCGCCTAATTCCTCGCCTCGCGGAGATATGTCCGCTGCAAATTGGTCAAAGAATCCGCGAATAAAAGAGGAAGGGAAAGAGGGACGTGATGAATATAGGGACTACATATCGCGGCCTTTATATCGCGTATAACGTATATAGGTGGTTGTTCAGCTGTGAAGCATGTATGCGCGCATCGATCTCCACCGTCGGGAGATAGAACGTGCTTTGGGGCAGATTAATATTTCAATGCCGAGAAAGAGCGCCATGAGACGCCGCCATTATTCCGCGAATTCCGAAAGCAAGAAGGTATCCGTATCATCTCGTGCGCGAAATAGGACATCGGTTTCCGACCTAAATACGAAAGTCATATCCTCCTGGGCCACGTTTTGTCATTTTGAAGAAGACGGTGGCTCAGCATTGTATCTTAGATAACACGGAATTTTCCTTTGCATTATTTGTACACTTGGATGCAATAAACGAGTTTTCTGGCATTTAGTAGAAAATATTTTGACCGCGAATATATAAAATATAAAGCTACGCTACGATATGTGTGTGTGCGCTTTCGAATGATAATTAAGTTCAGGTAATTATGGTTAGAACTTTAATATCTTATATAGAACAATTATGAATCACGAAAGTTAATTAAAGTATATAATTGACGTAACTGACATTTTACATGCACTGTAAAAAAAATTACATGTAAAGTTATAATTTTTAGATATGTTATTTATGTAATTTTAACATATTTTTTTTACAGCGTATCTCGAAGAAAAA